CACAGACACAGCACCGAGATAACTCCCTGCTAATGAGACCAAAATGAACATTTACATGTTGGCAGGCATATTACAAATGCCTTCCTTTTGTTTTTCATTTATAATCTTGGCATCATATTGATTATTTTAATGTTTAGATAGGTGTAGGTTATTAAAGGGCTTGTGGCAAAATAATTGTCATAAGTAGGAGGCCTCAGGCCCAGTGGGGCGGAGGACCCCAGCTGGAGGCACAAATGTTTGCTAGATGCATGCACCACACTGCCCTGCCCGCAGCCTCAGGGCTGGGAGATCTGCTTTTCTTGAGCTGTTCGGGGCTGGCAGAAAAGAAGTCACCTTGTGCAGTGTGCACGTTCTCCTCCCAGTCCCAGGAAGAGGTAACTCCTGGTCTACACTGAAATCAACAGGAACCCCGGTAGCAGTCTGTCCAGTGTTGTTTCCCAGGCCCCTGGCTGGGCCTGCTTCCCCACGCGTAGGAGACAGAAACCCAACAGCCAAGAAGCTAAGCTGTTAGCATTGCTCTGGCAATACCGGCACTGTTTATGTTAAACACACGGTTGCCCAGATTAGGGTTTTTTCTAGTTTTTTTAAATAAAGAGGTTTCTCAGATTTTTATTCTGATGACACAAACCACGTGGGGAAGAACACATTACAACTGACAACACGGAGAGTGAGATGTGGGCCGGGAAACATGGGGAACGGGTGCCCACCGTCCCTGGGATGTGCCCTGGAAGTCTTGGGTTTCCTTCCAGGGCTCCCAAGTACACTGAGTGCCTCCTTGAAGTCCCCCAGAGGTCCCATGGAGTGGAGTTTAAGAAGCAACACTGTAGGCCAAGGTCTGTCTCCTCAGGTAGGGAGAGGGGTTAACATTTCATCTCCGCCTTTTTCTTCCTGAGTCAGTTCCTCCCCACCCCAGACCGCTCCTCCTTGACCTGGGCCCACCTGCTCGTGCAGCTTGTCCTCTGGGCTTGGCTTTTCCTTGTGGTGCTTGGCGTCCATGCAGACGTTGAGAAGCTCAGCCCCAGGCCAGGCTGCCCATACTGCAGTCCCCCACACCAGAAGGAGCAACAGCTGTGTTGTCACTGTTAAGGCCATGTTAGTCCCTGAAGGAAGAGCTGTGGTCAGAGGCATCAAGGAAAGTAAAGGTGGGGCTTCAGGTTGTAGGAATAGATCCGGGTGGGCGGAGCCTTGAGGAAGCCCCAGGGCAGTTTACACCCCACCCCCACACCTCAGTCTTCCCAGCCTCAGTGAGTGGTGGGAGCAGACACCACCTCCTGGGACCTTCAGCGGCAGGGGCCTCGCTGATTTCTCTACTTGATCATGAGGATCAAGTGATACAATTAAGGTGGGGTTTGGGCAAAATGCAAAAATAGCCAGGAAATTGCCATACATCAACTATCTCTTGTTCAAAATTCTTGGAGGCAAATGTTTCAGAGTTTAAAATTTTATGATTTTATAAAAGGTAACACAAGCACTCAACATGCACTCAACAATCAGACACACACTCTGTGGTGAAACAGTTACACCGGTGGGATAAATAAAAACTGTAAGAGCCCTGGCTAGGTGATTCGGTTGGTTGGAGTGTTGTCCCATACACCAAAAGGTTGCAGGTTTGATCCCCCAGTCAGGGCATGTATCCATGTTTCTCTCACATCGATCTTTCTCTAAAATCAATAAATATATCCATGGGTGAGGACTAAAACAAACACTGTATTAATTTCAGGTCAGATTTTGACACCAAAAACCTTTGTGCAAAAGTTTACAATATCTTACTTTTGGAGTTCCAGATAAATTGCAGACCCATGTTTGTTTGTTTGTTTGTTTGTTTGTTTGTTGCCCTCATTACCATTCTATTTATTTACTTACTTACTTAGTCATTTGTTTTAAAAAGCCTTGGTTCCAGCTCTTCCCAGCCTTATCATTTGCTCTCTCCCAGAACCCATGTGGCCTGGGCAAACCCATGTCACAGGGCACAGAGGCTTGGTGGGTGGGCAGTGACAGACAGTTGGACAGCCCCTGGGGCCTTGGGAGGCTTCTGAGCCCTCTGCCCCAGAGCTGGCCTCTGCACAGCCATCAAAGCACCTCAATCCTCTGACCTCAGACACTGAGCTTTGCAAGGTAACTGTTCCCTCAGCCCACTGGGAAGCAGGTGCCTGGCTCTCTTGAAACACCCACTTGCCACAGTTCTAAAAGCCCGTGCGCCCCCTGCTCACAGAGTTGCCTGTCTCCACATTGCCCCTGTCTTCTGTAGAACTCAGGCGTCTCGCCTGGGCCTCATGGATAGGACCTGCACTGAGCAGGGTCCAGGCTGACTGCCCAGCAGGGCTGCGGAAGCCTGGAACTGAATTCCCACCCAGCTCTCCTCCTTCTCCTCCTCACCCCCTCCTCACCTCCATCCACCTAAGAAACATCTGAACCTGTAGATAATTTTATGAGTTAATTTCACTCAAACAGAGGATAGGGCTGGAAGCAAGATTTCAACAGACTAAAAAAAAATGCTCTGAAAAAATAACAGTTTGCAGTCTCGTTTAAGTTTAAGTTACGGTTAAGGAGGGAAGGTGGGAGAAAGCAAAGTGGGATCAGATTACCTCTTGCAAGGTTTAGAAGGGGCACCTGAAAGGGCTGTCAGGTGTAATTGGAAGAAGGGGGCTGAAAGGGGGCATTCCAAAGGGTGTTCATCTAGATACACAGAAACCATGGACAGGTTTGCTTAAGGCAAAGATATCCTCTTAGTAAAGAAGTTGTGTGTGCCTGGGGTGTGACTAACCCACAATGACCTGCCTAGTTAGGAATTTATCATATCACCCTGCGAGGTGATTTTCTACAGAAACCCCCTTTTTTGTCCACACCCCATCCACTTCCATAATTCGTTTGTTGCTTCTCTGTTCATTCCAGTGTTCATTTATTCTATCATTTGCTAAGTCATTCATTCCAGGACCCAATCTAGACAGCAAGGTGATTCCTCGGGGGGGAAAAAAGTCTGGCGGTTTAGAGCACAGGGTTTCCGATCAGCCTGTCCACAGTCCCGGCCCTCACACTCACCTCCTACTTGACCTTGGGGGAAAATACCTCAAATTATCTTGAGGCTTAATTTTCTCGTCTGAGGATTAAATGTGTGTTTGGGGAGCGGAGGAGGGCAACGGATGACAGTCGGCTGGGCACAGACTGAAGAGTCAGCCGGGAACATTTGGAGGGATGTGCCCCAAGTCGCAGAGCAGGGACCACCCAGGTCTGACTCTGGGACCCTCAAATCTGGAGCGCTTTCCATGTTTGTCCCCTGTACCTTCTCTGTGCTGAGGCTCTCATGGGGGCAATGGATGCAGAGCACGGGGGTCCTGGGTTGGGGCCTGAGAAAGCCCTTTCCCTGGGTTCCGCTGGATCCCACCTGGTCAGTCAGCAGTTCTTGGCTGCTTTCTAGAGCCAGCGGTCTCTTCCTCTCTGTGCCACCCACGTCACTCTACACGCCCCTCTCCCCGCTTTCCTAAGCTCAGCTTCAGATCTTGGACTAGGTGCAGCCCCACCACCACCCATAACCACCACCCTCAACACACGCACCCCCACCCCCAGGGCCCCAGACTTAACATACTCAGAACTCAGGGCTGTGCTGAAAGGCAAGAGCCCTGGGTTCTGGTTCAGGGACAGGTACCAACTTGTAGTTTAACCTTAGGCAGGCCGTGCTCTGCTCTGGCCTCAGCTTCCACTTCTGAATTCTCTGCACTTGAGGCAAAGCGGGCCCTCCCAGTTCAGAAAATCCTTTAACACGTGCTGGGAGTACCACAGGGCTTGTTGCCTGTGATGAGGGGTGGGGAGTGGCATACCTGGGAGTGGAGGTGGCTCTCTGTAGCTCAGGCTTCTGCTCAGCTCCACAGTTCCTTTCCCCCTCCTCCCACCCCGCCTTACTTCAGGAATGGCTGTGGTTTAGTGGCCTAGGAGACGGGCATTTGGTCAGACAGTGGGAATGTGGCCCAGGAGTGGAGCCTGGGATCGGGCGAAGGCCACTCAGCAGTTAATTATTGCATGTGGTCACAAGACAGGCCTCCATGGGAGGGGGCAAATTAATAGTGTGAGCCTAATAATAATAATAATTAATAATAATAGTAATAATATGGGCCTAAGGCCATCTCCAAGCTCCTCTTACCCATTTTCTCCACAAAACTCAGGTCCAATAAAACCTTACAGTGTGAGTTTCTGGATCCTTTCAAATAATCAGGTCCACTTCCAACATCCCTGTCCTGTGATACAGGTAAGAATGAGACTCAGGGAATCGAGACAGAGCCAACTGTGGGGCAAGAGCTGGAGCACAGGCTTCTGAGCTCCCACCTGTAAAGAGCAAAGAGCTCCTGTGTCCCCAACTTACAGAGCCACCAACTCCTTTAACCTCATCAGCCCCAGGCGTCACTCACCTCCAGCTGCAAAATCGAAGACATTCATTGGCTTGATGACCAACCAGAGCCTTGTTCGTTCCAAGATTCCAGTTCTCCTGTCATCTCCTACTCACCCACCCACCTACACAGTTATGCGTTCTACAGCATCTAAGAGTCTGGTCTGATTTAGACTCCCACCCCAGCTAAGGACAGAAACCTTCCTTTTTTCACCCCCTGAGACTGGGCTGACACCACTGGTGAGAGGAAGGGAAAGGGGAACAGCAGATTCGGGCAGAAGAAAACGCTGAGCTTACTCTTGTGGAGGGGCTTGTGTGTGACCCAAGGGAAGGTGGTGGCAGACGTGGGAGCCATCAGCCTGTGGATGGCAGCAGAAGGTTAGGAAAGATGGGGCCCCAACACCCTCCAGAAGAGCACAGGACTGGGCCCCTGGAGCAGAAGGGGGCTGGAGAATCAGAGGAGGCAGCTGGATCACTGGAGGAAGATCAGTCAAGAAAGAAGGCCCTAAAGGGTTTGCAAAGAAATGGCCTCCCAGCTCACGTCCTGCTCATGCTTGCTGTCTCTCTCTCTCTCTCTCTCTCTCTCTCTCTCTCTCTCTCTCTCTCTCTCTGTAAGCCTTACCTGAATCCTGTCACAACCTGGGAGGGTTAAACCCTCTGAAGATCTCAGCAGGGAGAGGGCCACTGGAACTCTCAGGCCTCCCTCCTGACTTTACCCGCCTGGCTCAGCCTTCTCCTGATTGGAGAATGACCAGGTGTCTGAGACCACCTAGACCACTTAGATTGCAGGTGAAAATTCTTCAAGATGGGATTTGCTCCTGCTCCTCATCCTCCACCCCTGCTCTGGCAGGTGATCCTTTGTGAGCTAAAGCCCCGCCTCCACCTCAGGAATGACCAGGTCCCTGGGCCCTGAGGGCTTTGGAAGGGACCAGCAAATGAAAGGTGAGTTGGAAGTGGAGCTCTGGTCTGTGGGGCATCCCTGCCCTTGTTGAGCCTCATGCCCTTGTTGACATAAGAAACATCCAAACCTGTAGAGAATGTTTATGAGTTTTTTGAGCCAAAATAGACAATTGCTGGGAAGCAAGATCTCAAATGCTCAGGAGAATGACACTTTTGCAATTTCTTTTATGCATTTTACATTCAGGAGGGAAGTAAGGAAGATTACATGAAGGGGGGAGAAAGGAGTGCATGGGTTGGATTACAGGACAGTTAAGATATGCTCCCTTGAGGGATGGTTACCACTGATTTCAAAGGTGCGTTAACCCAGAGGCACAAAAGCAATGGACAGCCTTGCTTAAGGCAAAGATAAGCCTGTTTCTAAAAAGTTTTAGGCCTGGGGTATGAAGACCCACCATGACCTGCCCAGTTAGGATTTATAATCAAATCGCCCTATAATCAGATCTACTTTCCTGACAACCCTTTTTTCCCTTCACAACCCTTCTCTGCATCAGGAGCCTGAGTGCTAAGGCCACCTGGCCGGCAGGGAGAAACAGGATCAAGCAGCCACCCTGGAGCCATTCCCGAGGATCTGCCCATACTGGAAGCTTAATACCAGCAAGATTAGTCACACAAAAATAACAGGAAGATGACCTGCACAGGTGGGAGCTCTGGGCTTCAGGGAGTGGGGGTGGGGGAAGCCAGAGCTTTTCCTGAGTTCCAGCCCATCACGTGTACACAACTGCAGTGGCTTCTCACCCATCCTCACACCAGTGGAGTGGGCTGTCCCCAGGCAGCGAGGAGGGGCTGGGGGTCAGATCCCAGTGTGATTCCAAGCCCAGCGTCTTTCACAAAGAAAGGAAAGCTCTGTGGGGGGCTCTGAGGGCATCAGCCTGAGGATTGCAGATCCAGTGTTTCAACTCCAGGCTCACTTCTTACCTTTCCCCTCTTCTAACTTAGCTGCCTAGAAACTCTGCTTGCTCTTCTAGTACCTCCAAGCCTTTGCCGAACCCTCTCCATGAAGGGCTGTTTCTCCTGCCATTTTCTGCTTGGCAAACATGACTCCTCTGGAAGCCTTCCCTGACCTCTGTGCTTTTGTGTAACGACACCACACTCTGGGATTCCCTGTAGCAAAGCCTCAGCTGCTTATTTTCTGAGAGTTATTTGTTCTCAGGTCCATCCGCCCCCACCAGACGTGCAAGGTACTCAATTTCCTCCCTGTTAGTAGAGACCAGCAGACTGGGTGCCCAGAAAGCTTCTGTTGCCTGACAGTATGAGGGCACGAATTCCTTAACTTGCTGAGCGCCTCCTCTGTGCCAGGTACTGACCCAGACCCCAGTGACAAGGCACAAATGACAAAGACAGGGCCCCTGCTTTCAGACATACTTTTGTTAGGGAAAAGCCAGGCAGACAGTATACACAGTAGGTTTGTGTCTGTGCAAAGGGAGTAAAGGGATGAGATAAGGAAGTGCCTGGAGGTGCTCTGTCTCCCCAGGGAGCAAACCCACACCTTTCCCCTCCCCTCCCTTCTTCTTCCCCTCAGGAGTAAAAAAGAAAAGAAAGAAAAAGTGCCTGGAAGACTGCTTTTGTTTAGGTGGTCAGAAATCATTTTAGGGGGAAATTTTAATTTGAAATCTAAGTGGCTACCAGGAAAAAACATGCCAATGATAAAAGAACATTCCAGGAGGACAGGGAGGGAATTGATGGAGTAAAGGCCCCAAAGTGAAAAATGTGAACAGAGGTCATGTACAGGGGATGGAGGGGCAATAATCTGACATGCAGTCCAAGTGGGGGGATGGGCAGGGCCTTCTATGCAATTGAAGAAGTTTGGCTTTTCCAACAGACACATCAAACAGCATTGAAGGGATGGTGAGGAGCTGTCATCTAAGAAGACATTTTTGGCATTTCTACTTTTTAAAAAATATGTCAGTAAAAGTAATGGGTTCAAGTTTGCTGACAAATAGGATATCTACAGTTCTCAAAGTACTCTCTACCACATGCATATTAATTATAAGGGGGAAAATGTAGCAAATAACCCTGGAGGACCCAATATCAACCACAAGACCGGTTACCATCAGCAGCGGCGGACCTCCCATGTGACGCAACGAGACAGACAGAGTGTTACTTCTGGGGTATTGTGTCGGAAACTCACAGCCTTGGTCTAGTGATGAGGAAATCGATAAACTCAAAATGAAGCATATTCTACAAAATAACTGGCCTGTGCTTTTCAAAATGGCAATGTCATAAAAGAGCCTCCTTCCCTCAAATATTCATCAATAGGTAACTGAACTGAAGGTGACATGCACATAGAATATTGTACAGCAATGAAAACGTATGAACTAGATCTCAACAGATTGATAGGGACATATCTCAGAAACCGTGTTCTCATGACAAGGCACATGGCAAAAGAAAACAGCACCTTTCTGCTTGGCAGAAAATCAGAAGCCTGACACCATGCTGTGTTGACCAGGGTACAAGGAAACAGGCACTCATGCGTTGCTGGCAGGGGCCACGCCAACACAACCCCTGTAAAGCTGTAACTATCAAAATTAGAAATCCATATACTCCTTGACCCAGCAATCCCTCTTCTGGAATTCAAGCACAACAAACTACTATGTGCAAAATTACCCATTGTAGCATTATTGGCCATTTTTTAAAAAGCAAGTAATGCAGGTGTTCATTATTGAGACCCTTCCACCAATACTTCCATCCCAGGCCACATCTAGTAAGAGAAGGATGGAGAATGAAACATTTTTCGCACCAGAAACCCAATAACTTATCCACCAATTTCTGCCCACCTTCCCTCCACCAATCCCCTTGTGCCTTTGTGATGCAAAAAAAGACCGAACTTGGTGTAAGGGAAGCCTGGTGAAGAACTAAGCCCCAGACCGAGGGATCAAGTTACATTCCCTACTTGCTGGTGAATTTCAAGTTAGTCCCCACCTTTCTTGGGTCCTCTCAACAGGAATGGTGAATCAATGAGGCATGTTCCACCCCACAACCCATTCATCCTCAAATTATTTATAGGACACAAGACCCACGTGGATCTCTCTACTTGAATAGGCTGTCACAGAAACCTCATAGTACCCATCTTGGATAAGGAATGAATGACCAGGGCATTGTGAGGCTCCTGATTGAGAAAGCTAGCTGAACTGGGCTGAGCTGAGGTCACCCACGTTGGGTGCAGGCAAGGAAAATGTCCGGGTATCAGTAGTGGGAACAACGTAGCGGAAGAGCCAGAGTTGGAACATCAGAGTCAGGCTGAGCAGGAGAGGCCCAATCCCATGGGCCGTGGCCCTAGAATTCATGGCCAAGGCAAAGAACCTCGCCACCTCCTCATTGGGGTTGCCCTGGGCCGGGTCGAACCACATCTGGATGCAGGGGCCACTCCCTCGACTGTACTTGCTGACTTTGTAGGAGTGACTCCAGATGCCCTCACACAGGGCTACAGGCGTGGGGAAGTATAACTCAAAAGTGTGGCAGACAGCCTCAGCTGGACACTTGTTAGATCCGGCAAGACGAGACAGTATAGACACACATTCAGCCCCTGGTTACCCCAGAGATATTCACACAACCCCAGATCTTTGAGCAGCCTTTGTGAAAACCCTTCCTCAATCTCCCACCTGCCTGGCCCTTCACCTGAGGTCCAGTTCCAGCCCTTGTACCAGTCGGTCTTGCAGGTGTGTTACAGAACACAGGGGGCCTGGGACGATATACTACTACTGAAAGGACCCTCTACTGGGCTCGATTGTCCGTTGCCAATAGGAAAGACATATCTCAATGCCAGAGATTTGTGAAAAGGAAAGGAAATGTTTATTTAATGCTATACAGACTTCAAGCAGTGACCTAATGCCTTCATTAAAACATTAAAGTCCTTTGGGATATCCTCAGATGCTCACAGTGCTTTCTTCTCCCCCTGCCCTAATTCAGGGTACCGTAACTCAGGAAGAGAAGCAAACATTTGGATTTTCAGGCCGCTGGCACCATCAGCTGTGTTACCGTCCAGGCAGGATCTCCAATTAATCCAAAGCCATGTGGCACTTTTTCATGGCCTACTGGCAAGAGTTCTTTTACCCTCCTTCCAGGCAAAGTCTCTCCTGCTTCAGCTGCCATGTTTGGGTTTAAATCCCCGGGCCAATCTTCCTCTGTGCCCCCATTTCCAACTCCTCCTACAGTCAGTTACACCTGCCAGCATTCCTGTATTATTCCAAGTTTACTGGGCTGCCATCGTAAGTATGGGCAGGGGTGGCCCCATGTCACAGAGCCAGTCTTCTCCAAGCTCCCATGCAGGTTCTGTAACTCGAAGGACCTGCCCCCCAGTCACATCTTGGGAGGGAGTCCCTTTCCATCCCCCTGGCCCAGAGCATGGCCACAGCTATTTAACATATCTAAGCGACCAGCCAAAGGCTATAGATGTGTTAAATGATCATACCGTGGATTAGCTGCAAAGCTGTGGTTGTACAAAACAGCCCTGCATGTTCCCACTCCACGTGTTCCTTCCCCCAACTCACACCTGTGGGGGGAGGGGTGAGGACATCTCATATGTCTTTCTAATATTTCCTAGACACCTTGAGTTCTGGAACCCATTCCACATCCCTTTTTGGGGCCTCCCTCTTGCCTGCACACTATAACAGTTATAGGAGGTGCAGCAGTCTTCCCACCAGCTCTCACAGTCCTCTTTGCACAGGGGCACGTTCAGGAAATGTTCTTTGCGCCAGCTCTGGTTCACCTGGGGGGGAAGGAGGAGGGGGAAGGCTCCTCTCAGCCAGGTGGGTTGGCAGCCACAGGCTTGACTGAGCTGGAGGACAGCCTGCTGGGCTGGGGTGAGGGAGACACCTCACCTCCTGCATCCAGGGCCCCAGGTTGGGGGAGCACTCATAGAGGCAGGTGTCCTGGATGAAGTGGCGCTTGCGGGCGGGCTCCATCTTGCCGCAGTGGTCCCAGTTAAAGTTGTACAGGAGGGAGGTGTCCTTGTGCAGCTCCTGGCTGGTGCTGACAGAGCAGCAGGCGTTCTTCCTCCAGGGACTGCACTGGGAGGGGCGGACACGGCACTCTTTCCCCTACCTACCACACACTTCTGCCGCCACTAGTCTCTGCCCATTCGGTTCTTGCTCTCCTGTCCCAGGAAGGCTGCCCTAGACACACTCACTGTGAGGACCCTTCTCTTCCTGGCCTCCAGGAATTTACATCTTGGGGGACACTCAATTACAACAGTGTGATCAGGGTTTTTGGGAACCTAGGAGAAACCCTGACTTGGGAGGACAATAAAATATTTCATTTATTTACTTTTTTAGAGAAAGGACAAGGAGGGGAGAAAGGGAGAGAAATATCAATGTGAGAGAGAAACAGCAATCAGTTGCCTCTGGTGCTCACCTTGATTGGGGACTGAACCTGCAACCCAGGCATGTGCCTGACTAGGAATCAAACTGGTGACCTTTCTCTTGGCAGGACAATGCTCAACCAACTGAGCCACACAAGTCAGGGCAATGAACTATTATTTACACAGCTGTTAACATTTTATAAAGATTTCTTAAACTTATTCATTAAAAAAATTATTATTATGCCATGGTCAGGTAGCTCAGTTAGAACATCGACCTGATGCACTGAGGTTGCGGGTTCAGGTGGGTTGGCAGCCACATTGGGACAGCACACATAGAAGAATCAACCAAAGAATGCATAAATTAATGTAACAACAAATCAATGTTTCTTTCTCTCTCTCTCAAATCAATGAATAAAAATTTTAAAAACTGTTAAAAATTATTATTGAGTAACTATTCTATGCCAGCCCTATTCTAGACCAAATAGAGCAGACAACAAAACAGACAGAAATATGTGTTCATGGATCTTACATTCTGGTCAGGGGGGACACAGACAGTAGGACACTGAGAGAGAAAAAACATGATTGTAAGTCTATGGTCAATTACATGAGGAAATTTACAGCAGGGAATGGGAATGTGGAATATGGGGTGATTGTGGAAATTTTAGATGAGGTGGTTTGAAATGCCATTGGTGGATGACATTCTGAGTAAAGGAGGAAAGAGAGTGAGCGATGCAGTAATACACTGTTGAATAACCGTATTCTTGACAATATCAAGATCTGTGTCCCCTGCCCCCTGCCAGTGGCTAGGCCAGGACCAGGCACATTGCGGGCACACAGAAACTCATGCTAAAAACAGTAAATTAAAGACATACTTATGCTTTTCTAATCTAAATGAAACTTCACCTTATATATAGACACACCATACTTTAGCATGGTTTTTATATAAAGTAGACTGGATGCTCCGGACCAGAAAAAAAAAAACACCATGAAATGGAAGGCTGTACTGTATGTTTTGCATTGCTGGAGTTAACCACTATTGTAGAGAATTGTGTCAACAATGGCAACACTGCTTACAGTATCTCATACAATTTAAGTGGCCAATAGAATACACCTGTATCAACCTTCCTTTGTAGCTGCCCCATTCATAGTGATTTTGTGAATAAAAGACAGGTGCTATTTCACGGTGACTTCTAATGTAGCCACACCAGAAATCGGCATGTTGAAATGTAGGGATTGTATTATAAAGTACTTTCTTTTGGTTTCTCCTTTGCATTACAGGTGGTTATGTTGATATTTTTTAAACTAAATGTGCAAATAGATTCTATTAGCTTCAAACGTCATTCCAGGATAGAGAAGAGAGTCTAAACAATATTTGTCATAAAAAGGAGGCATGGAGTCTAACATGGTTGCAACCAAGGCACAAATATTAAAGACTGTGCAAGCACAACAGCGGAGCCCTGTGTCACAGTCCCAGGAGGCCCTGTCCTCCGCCCTCAGCACTCCATGGGACTGGCCACAGTGAAAGGAGGAAAAACCTCCTCCCCAGACACAGAGGTGTCTGCCCCGGTCCTGCCACTACCCAGCCACAAGGGCTGCTCAGGGCCAGTGCCTCTGTGTGTCCATGTTCTC